CAGCACCAGCACCAGCACCAGCACCAGCACCAGCACCAGCACCAGCACCAGCACCAGCACCAGCACCAGCACCAGCACCAGCACCAGCACCAGCAGCATCAGTAGCAGCAGCCGCTACACCCGGCCGGAAAGTACAGATACAAGTGCCATCGGTCCTCCTTCGGTAGGAGTACCGGCCGCTGCCTAATTGGTCCGGGCGCGCTGCATGGCCCCCTGTGTTTGCGATGAGCTCGTCATGGGTGGTCCAGGGGGCTCCGCAGGCCGCGCAGCCCCATGCCAGCTGCACGCCACGCTCCGACTCCTCGTGGGCCAGGCGTTCCACGCAAACCGGGTGGAAATACTTGGAGCAAGCCGAGCATTGGACAACGTAGGGTGTAGAAACCGGGGGCCTGGGATTGAGGTCGCGGAGCCTACACAACTGACACCTCGTGGAGGGGTCATTAGTCCGGTCAGTAAAGAACTCCTTGACAGTCACCTTGTGGCTTTGGAGCTGCTCGGGTGAGTAGTGTGGCCATTCCTTCAGGTAGTGATGGTATAGCATGATGCTTTCCTGTCGAGTGCCCCGAACGAACGCTGCTTCGAAGTCCAGAGTGTGGTGGTGGTGCATGATACGCATCTTGTGAAAGATATGAGGGTTCATGAAGGTTGTTTAAATACCCTGCATTGATGCATCATGAAAGGAAAAAAAAGCGTGAGGTATAGTCCTTATCTTTGTTACAGTGCCAGGTTTGTCGTGAGGCATGTAGAATAGATAAAGCCGCTAGTGAAGATTCCCGACCTAATTGTAACACGCCCCTTTTCTCTCTCTGCGAGCTCCCAGTAATTTCTCTTCCAGATTCGAGACAGTTCCGAGAATCATGATAGCGTACTGTGCAGAAATGGTTACCATTTTTGTCTGGGTACGTTAGGCTTCAATTCCTTCAACTTAATTGATAGGCGGACCGAAGAAGCTGCATAGCTGGCAGGCTACTATCGCTTCCTGGATAACGTGTGTCTTTATTCTAGAGTTTTATTGTCGGATACTGACACAGGATTTCTTGTTCAGTAGTTGGTAAATGATTATACTGGCACTATACTCACGAGAGGTAGTTTATATAGAAGCTAGTTTGGGAGATGGGGGTAATCAGGAAAGAGAAGAGGACTGGTGGGGCATTCCAAAACAGCAATCATTGTCTACTGTTATCTGGATACGCAACGACCTATTCATAACGAAACTAGGATCAGAAATGTGACTAATATGCTGTTCTCAAGTCTCACGATTTGCTCGCAGACTCGACACCAGCAAGCTCAAGCGTTGAGTTCACGATATCATCCTATAAACTGACATCATACACAAACCCTAAAACAACGAACCACTACCCAGTTCCAACCTACAAATCTTCCAGTGAATCTACTACAGGTAACACAAAATGCCAACGGCAATTTTCATAAGTTGATACTATGAAAGAAGCAAGGGAAAAAAAAGAACCCAAGCCCAACCCGGACCCAAGCCTAAGCATCATCACCAATCCAGACATACTAATCAACAACCACGACCGATACAAACGCATCAAACCGCAACCTCCTCGCGAGGCCAATCCAGCCTCTGTGCCGCATACCTCCCACGCTCAAACGGCATAATCACCGCCTCAAGCACATGCACCTGGATGGGGTACCCATCGATAGCAAAGTATCCGACGCCCCGCAGAAGCGACGGGCGGGCCAGGCAGTTCAGGAACAGCGAGCCATGGTTCTCAAGGATGTGGATGCGCTCCTGGCGGCTCATGCGGCTGGTGCAGATGTGGGCGTCGCCCGGCTCCAGGGGCAGCTGGTCGAGCAGGTCCAGCGCCGTGCGGGGCTCTGAGGCACCGATGCACGAGATACAGATGATTGTCATGTCCCAATGGACGCCGACCAGGCCGCGGTGTCCCGCCGCGCTGAGGTGGTCGCGGAGCTGCTCTATCAGCACGTCGCGCGCCTCCTCGCGCGAGGTCCACCATTCGCCCTTTTCGACGGGCATTTTGGCAAGGGGGGTTGTGGTGATGGTGGTTGTGATGATGGCGGTTTCCTGGCTCAGGTTGAGCGTGGGAGCTGGCGAGAGGAAGAGGTCGGGTGGGTGGAGAGGGTGGTGAGAGCGCATTTATATGTCTCGCTCTCCGGGTCTTCTCTTTGTAGTCTGAGGATATCTGGCTCTGGGATTCGGTCACGCGGACACTTCATCTTTAAGACAGTGATTTAAGAGGAGTTTTTCAAGAAAGTGATAATGGAGGTTTGTCCCTCAATGAGAGATTGCTTTGTTGCCTTTTTGATCTTCCTGAAAAACACCTTCTATCTACATCTGCGCCTTCTTTGTTGGAGCTTGTGGAAGCTTTCATCAGAGCTTGTGTATGCTATTATCGACATGTGAGTCGAGAGCCTGGACATATCCACGAGCCCGTCCTCTCCTTTCCTCGATTGAGAACTGTTCCAGGTGGAATATTGGCAGTTTACAGTCATCGCGTACGAGAGTATCCGTGGCTCCATGCCAACAAAAGCATGCACTCTCAGATTAGTCAAATGACAAGGATTATACTTAATCGATAGATACAAGGTATTCTGGGGCTCACCGATTTTATCTGGCGTCAGGTTCAATGATAAGGCCACGCCCGAGCATTTATGTAGGTCAAACAACCCAGACTCTCACTCTGTTTCCATCGAAATCACGTAGTTCATTTCTACAGAACACCTTTGTCACATGCATACGTACTTAGACTATAGGGTCCTTGATCATCCTTCCCAATTATACTTCATTTGCCAGAGTTACCGAGACAGGAATACATCCATCAGGCATTCCAAGTACTATGAGCAAGTCCACTGGCAAAATATGGTCCTGCACTTTCCAAGCCGTGCACCTAAATGACCCGGAGCTCAATGGCAACCTACCGATTAAACCGTCTAGAACGCCCATCTCGTCACTCCAGCAGACTCAATACACCATCTGCGGCTAAATAACAGTATTGCACTGCAGCACTAAGTGCATAGCCTCCCACCTCTAAGACCTACTAGGGACAAACAGACTAACCCTGACACGGTAATTCGAGGTCCCGGTTGTCCAATCAATTACCACGTAAGATGATGAGCTCGGGGTATACTTCAAGCTCGTTATTGCTTGATTATAGAGAGCTCAAATTGAGCTCATTCAACAAGCACGTCTTGGTGGCGCAATTGGTTAGCGCGTACGACTGTTAATCGTGAGGTTGAGAGTTCGATCCTCTCCTAGGACGTCAATTCTTTTTGCCCCTTCTGTTTTTGTTCCGTGGTTTTGCCGGTCCTGGCGGTGAAGAGGGTTAGGACTAGCACATTAGATAGACTTGTTAAAAGGGAAGGACGCTGGGAAATTTCGTCCGTGATATCGTCTTCATAAGCTGGAAACGGTCGTGATGCATTTTTGAAACGGTAGCCTTTCCACGAGATAGTTTTATGAAAGTGATGAAGAAGAGTACGAGTTGTATCCGTTCCATGGTCTGGCTAGTAGAACATCTTGTGTATCTTTGGTAATTAGTGGCAGATGGAAAGGGATTAACTAGGGGGAATCAATTGACAGACACGAACTCGGGTTGCACCGTAACATGACTCTAACGAGAGACACCGATTGAGGACAAAGCGTCAATCAAACAGGTGGATATATTAGCAACAAGAACCATAGAAAATAGTATACTGAATACAGGGACAGAAAAAGAAAAGAATGGCCCATTTTAGCATATCTAAACACTAAACCTGAACCCGGTCTATCATCCGTACAAATAAGAAGAAACAAATGAAAAAAAAGAAGATCAAAATGGTACTTTTGCCCCGCTTGCATACAGCTTGCACAAGTCACACAGGCCTTCTCTCTTTTCGGTCATCTGAAGCAACCAGAGCAGCGGAGCATGGGACTGGCGATCTTAATAATCACTGATTGCTTGCAGTGAGCAAAGACGGACACTATGGGACAAGCTCCCAGTGGGGTCGAGTGGTAGTCATGTAAAAGGCGTCGAGTGGAAGGATGTCTGCGAAGGGTAAACGGATGGCGGAATTAAAAAGAGCAAGTTCCTCGCTGCAAAATGTTCATAGGCGTAGCATGTCTGCTGATGGTGATACACTGTAGTTCTCAAGAGCTAAAGACGACGAATTTACTCCCGAGAAACATCGCGGCCGAAGGTCTTGGCCTTGATCCAGTCGACAGCGACCAGGACACGGTTACGAGCTAGAAGATGAGTAAGCAGATATTCAAAGGCTTCCAACACATGAGGGATACTTACTGCTGAAGCACATGCTCAGATAAGCACTGCGCCAGAAGAGGTAAGTCATGGTACCACCACTGGCAATGTTGCCGCTCAGCCAGCTGATGTCGGCAACAGCACGTTCCTTTCCAATGTAGGCCAGACTGCCCTGGTGGGAGTACTGGAAGGGACCGATCTGCTTGGTTCTCCGCAACTGCTTCTGACGCTCCCGGATCTCATCGAAGATCTGGTTGCGCTCCTCATCGTTCTTGGCCTGGGCCTGAGCCTCCGAAAGCTGCTTTAGTTCAGACTCGACATTCTCAGTTTTGGCCATAGTGTTGAACAGACGGGCAAGGAAAGCACCCTCCTGGCTGGCAACCTGAGCGGTGGGAGCATAGTTAGTGATGGCGCAGTCACCGACAGCCCAAACGTTCTCAGCACCGTTCACGACGAGGTACTCGTTCACAGCCAAACCGCGGCGGGAGTCCTTCTGGGCGGGAAGCTGGCTCATCAAGTCGCGAACGACGGGGCGAACCGCGTTACCGGTGGCCCAGACAAGGAGACCGTAGGGGATCTTTTCCAGGCTCTTGGTGCCGTCGGGGTTGGAGACTTCGGCCTCGATGAACTTGTCGGTGACGTTCTTGACCATGGTCTTGGCGCGGATGGTGATCTTCTCCTCCTTGAAGGTCGACTCGGTGTAGTCGATCAGCTGCTTGGAGAACATGGGAAGAACGTTGGGAAGAGCCTCGACCAGAGTGACGCGGAAGTTCTCCTGGATCTCAGGAACCCACTTCTTGAGATCCTCCTCGAAGAAGTCCTGTATTTCACCGGCGAACTCAACACCCGTGGGGCCACCACCGACGACAACCATGTGCAACAGGCGCTTGACCTCATCGGGGGTCTGATCCTTGAACATGGCAGTTTCCACGCAGTCCATGATGCGCTTGCGGATCTTCTGAGCATCGTCGACTTCCTTCAAAAAGCAGGAGTGCTCCTTCACACCCTTGATGCCTGCTCGCAGTTAATTCCCCGAACACCTCCACAACGAGAATTGGATCACATACCAAAAGTGGCGTTCTCAGCACCAACACCAACGACAAGCATGTCGAAGGGCACCTCAGTGTGAGAGATCTCACCCTTGATCTCGGAATCGTCGCTGATGTAAACGACACGCTTCTCGTAGTCGATCTTGGTGGCCTCGGCTTCGTAGAACTTCACATGGGCCTTCTTCTGACGGAGGATGTTGCGGATAGGCTCCATGATAGAGCGGTGCTCAACCTGTCCAGTTGTGCAGGAGGGGAGGAGAGGAGTGAAAAGGAAGTAGTTCCGGGGCGAGATCACGACGACATTGTAGTTCTCGGTGTCGAGCTTCTTCAGCAAGGAGACAGAACCCCATCCGGAACCTGCGCGACGAGGTCCTCGTTAGTTAATGTCTGGGCCGTCGCGATCGCGTCATGCCTGAGATCGACGGGGGGTCACTCCAGGAGACGAGGAGCCTTACCCAGGATAACCAAAGTCTTTTTGGACGGATCGGGTTCGATCTGGTCGACAGGGTGGCACGAGTCGTAAACGCTGTAAGCCAAGTAGCCGGCCATACCCACGGTGCTCATCCAGGTCAGGCGCCAGGTCCAGCGCAAGAACCCGAAGCGCTTCTTGGGCTTGGGGGCGGGCAATGCCGGTTGAGGAGCAGCATCAGCGTAGGCGCGACGGGTGGAGCGCTGGAACTGGGAGAATCTCAAGGGACGTGCGGACCGGAGAAGCTGGGGTCGCGTCGAAAGCGACCTGCGCGACAGCGACGACAGCTGCATAGTGGCTGGGGAAGCCATCTTGGACCGGATTGCCAGTGTACTTCCAACCATTGTCGCACCTGAGCCAAAAGGCAAAGGGAAAGGGGAGAGAGAGTGGAGAGGGGGGGGAGGTGGGTAGGTTATGTTGAGTTTGAATGAAAGAAAGAGAAAGAGAAGCGATTCAGAGATGATGATGATGATAACAGTCCGACCCAAAAGTGACTAGAGCGAAAAAAAAATGGGAAAAGCACGAGTCACAGGGATGACTGATGCGATAAAGAGGTAAGAGATGGTTAAGCTGTTTTGGGCGAATCGGTGTGTCGGTCACTGGGAAGTCAATGGAGAGTCGCAGGGCGGAAATTTCCTCGATCTGGTAGTGAAGGCGACTTTCAGTGGCTGGGCGGCCCAGCCAAGGGTGGATTCCGACCCTCCCGGTTCCGCCGGCCAGGTTTTTTTTTTCGTTTTTCTTTTTTGTGTTCTCTTTATCTAGTCGTTGCACTTCTTGCTCATCGTCTCAGTCTAATTTAATCTCTATTCGAATCAATTGTCAGCAAATTGGAGAGGAAACAAAGGGAAGGGGAAAAAGCAGTTGGAGATGGAGTCGTGAGGGGGGAAAATCGGCGGAGTGAGGAGAAAAATACACACCTCGTCGTGAGGGGAGGCTAAAAACGGGACAACACGGAAGGAAAGCAAAGACTTGCTGCCTCCTATCATCATTTATCACCATCATCTGGAACGTCACATGCAACTCGTACATGAGTAGGTAGACAATCAATTGATCTTCATTCTTCACCGAAATCGGTGGCAGATACATAATGGAGATGATGAATTAATTTCCTTATTCTCTCTTCCGCCGGCTAAGCGTAAGCTTCCTGCCTAATCGGGGAAACCACTGCATGTAAGGTACTATAGAATGACTAAGCCGTCGCGCTTGTCCTTAGTTATAGCCGCCAGCGCCTAAATTACGGTTCTTCGCGAGTGTCTTGAATTAGACCGGCTTCTTCCGCATCTAGAACCTTTCATCTTGCTGAAAATCAAACACGGTTTGAGAATCCGGGGTACAGTACACTAACTACTAACTACTAACTACTGTATAGCTGGGTCCACTTCTCTTACTATCATCTTCATGTGTTCCCCTCTATGCTACCTGGCCCGTGTCTTTCCGTGCTTACTCACATTGATTATGGCCATAAGCATCCCAATTAGAGTGCTGTGACGCCGAGAACGAGACAGCTGAAGCATCATCAGCCTGCAAAGTTCTCTATTCTAGCTATTGGCATCAAGCCATCATGCATATCTTGCTTCAATCATTCTCAAGCGATACGAGCTTACATACGCCAATACTTGGGCGCCTACTATCGAAATATCCCATCATCCTTTTGCCTGGCACTGGCTCTCATTGCGACGGCTGCCTGGAGACGGTAGCAAAAACGCCCTCCAGGTGCGACAACCGACTTGGCAGTTCGAGGCCTCCAGCCAAAGGAGATCAGTTTCTGCACCTATCTATTCCTTGTACCCTTGTGTGTGGAGGAGAGATGAGGTAGATGGCATTAGTGCTCCGGCCGCTATCTAATCGTCTCGATAGATGCTACAATTTATATTATCCCCGAGATGCGGACTACGTCAATCACAAAGACCGCTTCTTCCCGAATTCAAACGACACCCCTGTAGATTTGCCCTCACTATATACCATTTAATATATAGCAAGTGGCAATTTGAATATGCTACTCGGATCACTCTCACTCTCGGAAATAGTATATGCACGACTGATGCCCCAGACGACCCGAGGGGTCAAATCTAGCGATCCCGCCAAATGGATCTTGTCAAGCAGAATACTACACATAACCGACTAAATGCAAAAGCACTTTACACCCCTCAGCGCTCGAAACGACAAGAGTTAGAGTCTGCTTCTCTCTACCAGGAGGCACCTTCGAAGTCTCCGTTGCTCTTCGAAGATCCGGAAACGCCTGAAGGACCCGAACCAGTGCGAACGATGCTTCCGTGAGGGCGAAAGCCTCCGCAAAAAAAGGGCCATCAGCCATGGTCCTCTCCAATATTAGAGGATGCGGGGAAGGGGGGCGCTGCTGAAACTTACTTCCGAGGCATGTCCTGGGCCCTCCACGAAAAGGCATAAAGCCAAATCCGATGTTCTTCAGCTCGGGTCCTTCCCAGCGCTCCGGGCGAAATCCTTCGGCGTCTGGCCCATAAATCTCCTTACTCCGATGCATGTGGTAGGCAGAGAAGCCCACTCCGGCGCCTTTCGGAATCAAAAGCGGGGAGTCGCCGGTCGGGCCCGCGCCCCGCGGCTGATATGTGGTTCGTCTGGCGATGCGGACGTTTACGAGAATCTGCGTATATAGCCGATTTGCTAATCCAAAGTCAGAGTCTCTTCTTGGTTGTGCATGCAAACGGGAGGCTGAAAACACGTACTCTCGTTGAGGACACATCGAAGGTAGGTCATCTTGTTGATTTGCGCTCTTGTCAGGTCTTCTCCATCTTGCGTGGACAAGAGGATTTCTTGACGAAGGCGCTCAAGACATGCTGGGCGGCGGATCAGCTGGTAACTGTGACAAATAAAATGAGTATCATTGCCCTCAAACATGTTGCATATGAACACAGGGCCCTGCTTACCATGCCCACGACATTAGACAGGCCGTCGTATCTCTGCCCGCAAGCAAGACATTCATGAGTTGATCACGAACAAGGTCAGGATTCCGGAACTCTTTGAGGAGATCGCTAATGAATGGATGCCGTGCGGTAGCAGCCTCTTCTCTGTTTTTACTCATGTCATCAAGCGTCTGGCTCACGTAATGGCTAGCATAGCGGTGGAACACATCGCAAGCTTTGCTATAGGCGGGGGGGTTATACATCCAGCACCAATCCGCCAGTCTCATGCGGATGGCCGAGGTCAGCGAGATATAGTCGAATGCCCTGGCAAATGTGTCGTGGTCGCTCTGCTGCAGACCGACGGACAGCTCGCCGAAGATAAGCGAAATCGTGGTGGAGTGGACAATGTGAATCGGAAGAAGGCCGGCTGCAGGTCCACAACGCCCTCAGAGCGAGATTGCAAATCCGCGAGCAAGTCATTCACGGGCCCGTCAAAGATCTTAGTGTCTTGACGTTGCATCCGCACGAACTGTCGGCGGAGAACATGGCGCGAATGCTTCCAAGCGACGCCGTCCTGGGTGAAGATTCCATTGCCGATCATGGGCAGAAGCGCATTTCGGCTATTTCCGAGCTCGCAGTCTACGTACAGGTTGAGATGGCTTCTCCAATGTGCTGTACCTCTGATCGAGGGAGGGAGAATCGACTAACCGTCAAAACGCGTCTGCAGCATTGACTCTAGGTTCTGGGGGTTCATGGTAAAATATCCCACCCGACCCAACGGCTTGGTCTCGAAGGTGTGACCGAACTGGAACTTCTAGAAATAGTCTGCTTGGTAGGCAAGCAAGCTTCCACGTGTGAGAGCGTAGTACTGGCTCTTGAAAATATCGAGAGCCAGCGGCCATTTGTATGGCAGCTTTCGGTGGATGGGCTGGCAGCCATGCTGTTAGCCAAAGAGCTTCTCGGCCTAGACCGTGTGTGAGTTGGAGAGTGGAGCTAGAGAGGGCTAATATCGTACCCCATTGCGGCGACGGTTCCTCAGATAGAGAAATACCCACCACGGCAAGGTGATGGTGACAGCAAAATGCCAAAACCTCAAACTGATAACATCGAATTGGAAAGTGTCCATGTTGAACAATTGGAGAAGGCAGAACCTGACAGAAAACATTCCTAGGTGGAGGGAGGGTCAGCTTAAGGCAGGAGTAGAGAATACCTACCGTCTCCATCATAACAAGGAACTCGCGCCGTTCGACTGTGTCGTGTTTCTTTTTCTGCATGATTGGCTGTTCCTCAAAATCACGAACCTCCCAATGCTCGGCTGTCAGCTCATGCACCGTAAGGTAGCGATCCTTGGTACTCGGGCATGCCCGAACTGTACCCTTGGTACTGCAGCCATCAGAGGCTTATGAGTGGTGCGAGCTGTTCTCACTTTCTCCACAGATGCTTTCTTTCTCCGAGCCCAAGAAGACGGTTTTCCCATTCACTATTGACACTCTGGGTCTGGCAGAGGACTTATTATTTCTATCCAGCTAAGAACCATAGGTCTAAGGGTACTTTCACCACCGAGGGTCCCGGAAAGTCTGGCAGGTTAACAAGGACAATTGAAGCCATTGAATGGCAACTGGGAAATGAATGTAGTGCTGAATTGGTTCGGTGGCTGGACGAATTGCCAGCCGCTCCACAAAAGAGCGAAAGGATCATGTCTAGATTGTTGATTTGGTGAGAGGGCGTGTCAGGCAATTTCAATTTCACGAGACTAGTCAGGGCTTGATATCACAAGAGTGTTGAGATGCCCAGAAGATGAGCTTCTTGACTGAAATGATCGGCATCTGGGGCAATGAATGAACATTATTCACTTCATATTCTGATGGAAATAGAACATTCTCTCAAAGTCTTCGTTTACTTGTGCTCTCCGCGCCCACTGCTACTTTCTCATATCCTGGGACGCTGAAGTATTGGCCCGCTTGAAGTGACGTGTTGCTTCATTGTCTTTTCTCACTTGTAGCTATCCCGGGGCCGGTATCAATTCCTCAAGTGCAATTGAGTCTGGGGCTGAGTAGAGCCTATTGTTCCCTATGATTTCCCAAGTGAAGCTGAGAGAGAACGCAATCAAGCGGACATAATATCTTTGCGGTGTTCCACCAGCGTCACTGATGGTCTTCGAAGAAACAAACGATGAGCTTGTAATTCGACCTTTGCTGACCTCTATCTTCTTACCTTTTACTTTTGGCTAAGCCTGAGTTACACTCATGGCCTTTCAGCTGAAAGCGTCCCTGCTTTGAGTGACTCGGTACTGCTTGGGCCGGTGCCAATTCCGATACCGTGTTTTGTAGTCAATATGTGGCCGATGATCAAGCCTGTTTATCGAATGTCGAGATCAAGAATAGAGAGCTTCTCCGGGGATCCTTTTTCTGAGGTATGGGGCGTTTTCGATGCATCAGCAGGCTGCGACAAAGCTAGAAAGGGTCGCAGCATTAGCGCTAGAATATCGAAGCCAAAAAAGAGATAAAGAAGAAGAGCATACAACGTGAGGGAACGCCTGAAACTCTCCTAATCAGGACTGCTAGGTGCACTGGAAAGACTAGGCAGTTGGGTATTGCTGATGGCATGAAACGCTCGTTAGCTAGGAGAAGAAAGGAGCTATTATACGTACAGTGGCTCTCTGAGGGCTTTCGAGCTTGGTGGACGGAGATATAGGTGATGGCTATAGTTACCAGCATAACAGTGCCCGTCCAGGTATCGATGAACGAGGGTAGGAAGAAGCATGACATATTTGCGGAGAGGGAGTTTAGAAGAGTCTGCTTAGTTGTGAATGTGAGTGTCCGAGCAGAGGCAGGCAGTGCCTGCTTTAGTACTTGCTAAGATCTCCCGAGTGCGGCCATTTAAGTGGTCTGGAGATCATTCATTAATACACTCGTGAACTTATGACCCCACAGGATTCTTATCCGGATTGAGCCAAGTGGGTCACGGGACAGCCTTACCTTATCGGGTGGATCCTCAACTTCCGGATCCGGGGTTACTAATCTTCCCTCCTCCCTTTGTAGTCCTTCGAATGGTGCAGCATCAACAACACTCAACATCAACAATGATGATGACAGTAAACGCGAAGACCGAAATCCTCACATGCTCCTTTACAAAGTAACAATTGACTTCACAGATCTGCCCAGGCTCAGGAAGGCCCACGAACCGTGCACAAGAGCCTACTTATTTTTTCGACTCGATATTATTCGATGTTCACTCCCCTCCAACAGCGCCCCAAACACTCGGAAAGCTCTGGCTTTGTTATGAGCGGGCGTCAAATTATCAATGGCGCGTCAAAGGATGCGCTTGCGATGGTCACGACGGACGTGTCAACCATGCCAGTCATATCGACCACAGACCACAGACCAGGGAATGGCAAGCTGAAGGTGGCCCCCACACAGACCGCGCAACCAGCGTTTACCAGCAATCGAAACAAAGTCAAGATCAAACGGAAAGACAATAGGCGTCTGAAGAGTTCAGCCAGTTGGTTGTTGGATAATCAGATTGGTACGTGGCATTTTATACCTTCCTTCGTGAAAGGCTGCGGCGGTCCGTTTCAGAAGTCAGAGCCAACCCTTTTCCCATCCATGAAGTATGAGTTACAAGAAAACCGGATAGGCCTGTCGCATCAATGGCTAAGCAAAAGGCTTGCAGGAGCCTTGAAGGTGATTTCGGAGTACCGTTGCCGTTGACCGTTGACCGTTGACTAGGTATTTCATTTAACCTGATCGCCCTCCTTCTCTTCGTTCACCTCTTCGTGCCCCGGGCGCGCCATACCACGTCCAAACTTTTTCTACCATCACACTACAACCCAAACACGGAAAAATATGCTATTGGTGATGGAGACTTCTATTTCCTTGCATTCTACGTGGTCCTCTTCACGGGTCTCCGTGCAGGGTTCATGGAGTACATCCTGGCACCACTAGCTACGCAGTGGGGGATAACGAAGAAGAAGGACATTACCAGGTTCTCTGAGCAAGCATGGCTGCTGTGCTATTACTCTGTCTTCTGGACTCTTGGCCTGGTACGTCGCGAGATATTCTTATCGTTTCTATTGCCGTCTTTTGCATCCCAACTTTTCGAACAGCTTTGTGCCGTTGCTAATCGTAACCCTAGTACATCTACTGCACCTCGAAGTACTTCCTCAACCTGCCGGAGATGTTCACAGACTGGCCTACGCGGGAGCTTCCCGGCCTCACCAAAGCATATATCCTAGGCCAGTGGGCATTCTGGCTCCAGCAGATCCTGGTCATCAACATTGAGGAACGCCGCAAGGACCATTGGCAAATGCTCGCCCACCACTTGGTGACAGTCGTTCTAATCTCCACCTCGTATGCCCTCCACCTAACCCGAGTCGCCAACTTGGTGCTCATCTTGATGGATGTGGTCGATATCTTCTTCCCTGTAAGTGCTCTGCGCGTTCCTGGTGGACTATGCGCCAGTCCAATCACTCTAGCGCCCCCCCTACTAAAATCAAAATAGCTCGCCAAATGCCTCAAGTACCTCGGCTACACCACCGCGCGAGACATCCTCTTCGGCGTCTTCATGCTTTCGTGGTTCCTCGCCCGCCACGTCTGCTACCTGATCACGATGTGGAGCATCTGGAAGCACATGCCCGAGACCATCGCGGTCGGGTGCTACCACGGCTCCCAAGATTCTCTACGGGGGCCGACGCCCCTCCCCTCCGACGGCGACTGGTCGCATGCGTGGGCGCCGTTCCACGATCCGGCGGGCACGATCTGCTACAGCAACGGGGTGCGGTGGGGATTCCTCGGCGCCCTGGGCTTCCTGCAGGTGCTTACGGTGCTATGGTTCGTGCTGATCGTGCAGGTTGCGGTGCGGGTCGTCAAGGGGATCGGCGCGGATGATATCCGGAGTGATGACGAAGCCGAGCAAGAAGCGGCGGAGGAAGAGGACGAGCTTGTGCCCGTGACGGAATACAAGATCTGCAATGAGATCGGCGTCGCGGCTCTGGGGGGCTCGGGATGGGCGCGCAGGACTGGTGGTACCAGGAGGACGGCGAGTTCATCGGGAGTCAGCTTGACGGGTCACTTTGATCGGAAGGAATTGCTGAGCCGGATAGGATGCGAGAAGCAGTGAGGTGGGTTACGCTGGGGATGACGAGAATGAGGGAAAAGCGGCTGGATTGCGCGTTGGAAGGCCGCGATTTCATTCTACAGTGATTGTGGCTTTCTGTGCAATACTAGATCATGATTTTTCTCGAGCGACTTGGCAAAAGTCTGCGACGATATCTTTTATGGAGTCCTGGATACATGGATACTGGGAATTGAGAAATTGATGATTATGATGAACACTGCCTGGCTCTCAGGATGCGATTATCTCGACATGGCTTCTTTGAATAACTGCCCCTCCGAATAACACGACCAGGCCATCTCCGCCTTGAAGATTCAACGCGCTCATCGATGCTGTAAGAACTCGCACGCGCAGTCAGGTAACTGGTGCTGCGAGCCGACATGGAAGCCTCTCTCGTTACCAAAACTCGATTCATGCGGGTCAGCATTTGTCTGAAGAACCGACTCCTGGCTTTTCTCCTTGAGTATAAATGGTATCGGTGTTGGAGAATACCTGATTTTGATGCGTGAGCTGGATTGAGCGAAGAAAGTGTGTGCTTGGTTCTCCTTGTGTCATTAGCTCCGGTTATAGATGATATATTAATGCATTGCATGCCAACAGCAACATCCAACTATCCCGGCTGAGCAAGTACGTATATTCTTTCAAATACAAAGTACAACAACATAAGAACACCCAGCTAGACCCCCCCCCCCAGAGCCTCACCAACAGACCTGTCGAACTGTCAGCCCTTCACCAACCATACTCATCCCCAGCGAAAAGAGCTCTTCCATGCCTCAGCCATAATCCGGTAGACTGAGATGCAGATGCATCACCCGTATCGAGCCAGAGCAAACATCGACCGTCAGCCGATGATAACATAAAGAGCACAGTGAACAGGTTCGCTCAGCGGGCAGTATTGTACCTTTGTGAACCGGTTTGCAACCTGCATTCCGTATATCCTCGCTTCTTAGTCCTGCTCTCCCCATGTTCCAGGCTCATCTGGAACATCGAGCACAGAACCTGAATTCGTGTCTCCCGTTACTGGACCCAGCAGAACCCGCTCCCTCAAATCGAGGTACGCAGCACAGGTACCTTTGTTTGTTTGTCTATTTCAGCTGAATAGTGGTTGTCGAATGGGTGGGTCGTTGCGTTGGTTGGCCTTGTGCATATTGGTATGCATATACATAGTCCACCTCCCGCCAGGCTTTCCCATTAGGCGTGGTCTGCATCATCAACTAACATGGAAGGGCTGGTACAACACGGCGGTTTATCAGTTTCGAAGTTGCTGGTCGGGTTTGTGGTTCGGCTTGCCTTGATGCATACCTCTTCGTTGCACGATATGTAGACACGGCTGTAGATGTACCTTGGGATGAATACTACAATGAGATACACTTGTCTACTGTCGTATGCATCTGTATACTCGTACATCGCACATCACGGCTATTGCAATAGAGCAATAAGTCCTCTGAAGAAAGACAACAACCAAGACCTTCACCAGTCAAGTATACGAGGTACATTTCATGGGCAGATATTCCATCCAGCCAGGATAACATACACAGACCAAACTGCCAGTCCAACAAGCCCACAAGACCAGTAGCAATAGCTATACGCCTTGCTAACAAGCTTGTGCAGTATAGCTACAAAGTACTGTACCTCTAAGCCACGAAAACACCCAATAGCCAACAAGCTAAATCACTTTCCGCTTAACTGCAGCGCAGCGCCAATCCGACCTTACGTGTCCCGAAGGAGAGTCCCGTCAGGATCTATTGGAAAGCCCGCTAGGTTCAAGGTTTTTGCTTTTCCTTTCCTGCTTGGGATTTGTGATAGATCCCCCTCTCTTCTTTCCTTCCTTGATGTTTGTATCTGCGGCCGAGCGGGCGGGCTTGATGGCCCGGCATCCGGATGCCTAGCTTCTTTCCAGTCAAGGCAAATGATGTATGTACTTGATTTGTACTATACCATAAAAGCTGCTCACACTCACTGTTTTGTAGCGACAGCAGCAGCAGCAGCAGAAGGTAGCTAGGTAGTTATCGGCCCTCCTTCCCCGCGTAGGTCGCTCGCAGCTACGGTTTACGCTCAATAGCGAGCGGACGGATGAACGCAAGTCATCGGGGATTCATCGGTTGATCCTTTCTACTTCTATATTACGTTTGGATTGTCTTTACCGTTACCGATGTGAAGGCCGGGGGTATCAGGGTGATGGATCCATATTACTGTACCCGGGACTGACGAGGCCAGAATCTTGCGCTTGAGCTTCAATTTTGGGGGCAGTAGACTTTATTCTGGTGCGCGGGGAGAAAAAGCAAGCGGTTGTTTGGTTTCGAGCTGCGATGAAACGAATGGAGTATCCGGCCGGGGGGAGGGTCGTGGGCTGGTGATGGTGATGGTGAGACACCTCTCGTATCAGCGATGGTCTAGTTAAGGGTGCTGGATGGAGTGATGGGTGGATGCTTTCTACAGTACATCCATGAGGGCAGTCGACAGACAGACACACAGATAGGGACCCAGATTAAACTTCCTGGGACAATGGTCACTCTCTCTTTGTTGTTGCGCTGGTTGATCGCTGCAGCCGCGCACATTGGGAGGGAAAGAGGTCAAAGTGGTACTTGTGCAGTGTGTGTGTGTGTGTGTGCACTGGGGGGCCAAGCTGCAGACCCAAACCTACCTAGGCTTGGGCGGGGCAGGGGGCAAGAAATCGGATTCTTATCCTCTCTTTCACCGGTTTGGTATCTGACGTTCTGGCTGTCTGGCATGGACATCGCGCATGCGCCATGCGTCGATGTGGGCGGGCGTGAAGGGAAAAGAATCGGATCGTTGTCCGCGTTAACAGCAACAAGTAAAAGGCTCGGGAGATCCCAAAAGAAAGAGGAAACAAAAGCAAAACACGGACATCAGAGACAAGCGGCCTCGACCGGGCGGGATTCAGGGCTCTGGGGATTTATTGGTTGGTTGGATGGATGCAATCTTGATGTTGCTCTCTGCTCCTGCATTCCATAATGGATCGCCTTCGATTAGTGATTGCCGGTCTCGGAACTGCCTGAATGGCACTGGATCTAGCCTGAACATTGAGTTGGATAGGCAATGATTGCTTATCGGCCACAATCATACCCACACAACCGCGGCTTGGCTTAACTGCATCCATCATCATTTCTCCCCATTACGAGTATGTACATACAAACCCTCACAGATTCGAGAATAGTGTCGTTGCGAACCAAACCACCGGGAATATCAATGCCCTTGTTTCTCGCTGAACCCCTGGTTTTACCTCTCCTATCCCCTGTTGGTGGAATGTTGTTGCTGTTGCTGTTGCTGTTGTATACTAGCCCACCAACAAACACCACAACCCGCCCGCAACATTTCAAACCCAAGGAGATGATTTTCGACTATCCTTACTTCATATCCTCGAGGGTTAATCTTGCCAAGGGCACTGCCTCCCTCGAGAAAAGACAAGGGGGGACATACTACTAAGTATCCGAGTAACCCTTACGGAGGCCTCCCCTCCCCTTCTGTTGCCCCCAGTTTAACGAGGGACTCACCCCTCATCCCCCACACTGATACCAGATACACAACCATCTGTAGACAAGTATGTGTACGAACAACCAAACCCGACCGCAATACAGCCAATAAACCCATACAAGCCCCCTGGCACACGAAATCAAAGGCTAAATCAACAGCAGACAAGCGGCTACAGAAAGAAGCTAAACACCAACACCGCACGAAGTACAGTACCTACACACCCAAGCCTACCACCAAATAAAACACCAAAAGATTCGCAGCCAGATAAACAAACAAACAGCCAAGCAAGCAAGCAAGCAACATACAGAAGCCGCACAACTCCCCTAAAGCTCCAGCAACAGCCCGCGCCCGCGCCCGCAAGGATGTCATCAGGGTCTCATGCAAGGAGCCTTGACAGCCAGCCGGCCAGCACGCACGGTTAGTACAAGGCACGGTCTGGAAAGAATGGCCAGAAGTAATTTTCCGATGGGATCATCCGCTTTCCTGAGAGCAGGGAGCGAGACTTTACTACACAGATAGACAGAGATTCACTGATTGTTGTCCTTGCGTACTGTACGATGAAGCCGCGCCGGCCCCTCATTTTGAATATTGATGAACCACCCTCACTCACCCTCAGTCTGGTGATGCGATCATTTGATGGGCGGAGATATTCGGATGATAAACAATCAAACGATTAAGAACTAGGGAGAGAGCAGAAGATGATGATGAAGCTGGGGATGGATGGGCAAGCCCACGGGGTTGGGGTTCAGCTCGAGGGTGGAAATGCATACCCCTCTATGCCTTTCTTCCCTTGCTCTGGGTGGTTCATGAGCGAGAGGGGATTTATTTTAATGGAAATCAAAGTAGAAAACTCTCCGATGAGAGTATATCATTACCTATCCTGTCCTAGGTGCAAGTATACTTTCATGTGGTTGTTGTTGTTGTTGAGATGGTGGATGTTGGATAAGGAAAGTCCAAGTGATATGGGCGGCATCGGGGCATCTTGTTTAAAGTCTAGTTGTAGCTTGCCGCGACCGGATTAGTGAGGATGGGACTCTACAGGGGGGAAGAATCGGACTACAGCAACAACACGGTCGCGCGTCGCACGGGGCACCAGAGGGTTATGCGATGCGAGACAACATGTTGACTTGACCGCTGCTGTCGATCTTGCTGACTTACTCCGTTGAGGGGAATGGAGGGGAAGAACAAAACACATGAGGAGAAGGGAAGAAAAGAGGAAACGGCACAGCACAGCGGTGGAATGTTGGTGAAGTGTCCAGTTGTCTGGCACAAGGGAGACACGAACACTTACACACTACTCAAGGTGTCAGGGCAACCGACATACATACACCTGGTGCTGCTGGGGGCGGAGGTGAACCCACCTCTCACGATGATAGATAGATAGTCACATCAGGCGGGTAATTGTGCAAGGAGATGGAGAAAGAAATAGAGAGAGAGAGAAGAGACAGGAGTGGCATAACTGGTCAGTCTCTAACTAGCTCTAGTGGGAATCAACTAGACTGCACTTTTGTGTAATGACCAAGGATTGATGATCGCTAGGAAAGTCCGTCGTCGCCGTCCTGCCATCTCTTCCTCCTCATCATCATCATCTATCAACTTTCCCAGATGGCTGGCTTGCTTGAAGCGGAAGGTCAATTACTAGCCTGGAGTACTCCATAGCGAGCAAGTCTCTTCCAAGGCAATCCAGGATTATTCGGTGGTCTCGGCGCAGAGTAAGCAATGAACCGGTCGGTGACGGGGAGGAATGTCATGTGATATTAAGTATCAACATGGGGCAACATCGATACCGAGATCATAGATTAGGATAGGGATACGCAATACCTAGGCAGTATGCATAAGAGAGAGCACATAGAGAGAGTACAACAACAGTTCGGCCGCTTGGAGGCAATGTTGAACTGAAACCTTCTCCGATCCACTACAAAGGTAAATTATTGGCCGTTCCCTTCCTCTGGTGACGAGACTCCGAACAATCGAGGAGGGGCAAGGATAATTATGATCGAAAAGTCTATACACCCAAAGCCAAATTAGTGGCGGTGACGAAGGAGACGAAGAGAAGGAAGCCAGCACAAGACTCCGGACGGGCCACGGTGCCGCAACCGGACATTATTCTTCTTGCTCTTATTGCTTCGGTAATGTGTGGCAATCGGGAAGTTGGTACAGGCTGCAACTTTTGAGTCAAACTAAAGGATCGATGGGGTTGTGGTTCCTAACATAGAATCACGGTTAACAATTCCAAGGTGGTTGGGCCCAGGAGGCTGTGCGTCGCGTAGCTGGAATCGCAGCAAGCAATTCTGGCGAGATACCCTTGCTACTCTAGCGATGAGCACAGCCGGAGAAACTGGAAGCCTGTCTGGTTCGAGATCCAATGGTTAACGTGGGATCCAATTGAGACGGCTGGCCGTGAGATCTACGAAACCGCCTGTTCGAATGAGAGGCGAGATCGGGATGCTCGGGACAAAGTCCAAAGTAAATTAGACAGGAACAAACCGTGGAAGCCTGGAAGATGAACAGGAGGAAAGCTTATGGCGGAGTCGTTGGTCAGCAACACCGAGAAAAAGCGACTCATAGTTACGAAGTAGAGAGAGAGAGTTATCCAGAATGTCACTGCAGGCAATCACCGGACAGGGAAGCTGTAGTAGAGCACTGGCAGCCCAGCTGGAGGACCAACCACATGCTTCAGTCAAGTGCGCAGCAGCAGCAGCAGCATCAATGTTGACGCTTTCTTTGCTACTACCTCTTCATCTACTAACTACTCCATACATAGTATCTATCTCTAGCCTAGGCTTTTTCATTTAGCAGAAGTTGCCTGTGCCCGCCGCTGCGCCCGAGTGACTAAACCAAGTCCACGATCCAAAGATGCGCCCAGCCCCAGTTTCTGAACTCTGAGTCTGGTCTGGACAAAATTAAGATAAAGGCGTGGTGAGACTGCCAAACGGAGTCATCAGCATCATTATCAGCATCATCAGATTTGAGTGGACTCGGACGGAGATAGTCAGATGGATGGCAGGCAGATGGGGAAATAAGTTATCATCGTGGCTATTTCTGAGCTGGGAAACGATACTGGATTGGAAGTGAGTGGCACACGCACGCTCCACTCGCATTTTTTATCACTTTCTTTTTATTTTTTTTTCCCGGAAGTTCTGGAACAACCGCAATCCACCCACCGAGTAGCAGCAGAAGCAGAAGTAGTTGCAATTGCTTGTTGTCTAGTTGTTACGCCTGCCGTCCGGTAAGAAGGATGACCGCCGCAAGACCCGGGCCAGCCTCGAGCAACACAACGCCAACGCCCTGATTTGTTTGAGGTTGATCAAGAAAGGTTGTCCCATTCAAGTTGTCGTCCCATCCAGTCCACAAACCTCGAATTCCTGGCCGTAGCACCAATAAGCAGGGCGAAGGGCACAGTGTCTCTGTCCCCAATGCAAATGCCACGGTTCTGACTTCTGCTTGGAGAGATGGTATTTTTGGTACCAGAATGATTGGTTCAATACTTACTGTACCGTCCGCATTCGACCGACCGACCGACTGATGACAGTGATCCCAACTGGGATAAAGAAGTGGATGGCCTCAGGAATGAATGGATGAATGAAAAAGGCTAGATGGAAAGTGGTCGAGCTGAAATTCGCTTCTCATTCAAAAGCAGTGATTCCTTCTTTACGAGAACCACTCAAACGGATACTGCTAAGTACAGCAGGTATCCATTCGCCATCGCCATCTATTTTAGACAACCGGGACTTTTAGAGTGGCGTCTAATCCCGACAACGACGACGACGACAGTATCCAGTTTCACTTTACAGTTGGGTCATCGTTGGAAAAAGAAGTTCGATCCAAATTCTCGCGCCAAAACATCATCTGATTATCATTGCCAATCCTTCAACAGCCGATCTCTAGTTGTTGACGATGATGATGATGAGATGATGCTATGGTTTTGGACCAGTCACCGCTTGCTGCCTCTCTGGCAGGTACCATCCCAGTAGATACGAGGCAACCAACCACTACAACCCCCGTCGTGGACTGCAACCACTGCAATTCACCTTTCCTCCCCGTCGGCTTCTGCTGGACCGTCGGTGGTTCAATACGCATCCTGCAATAGATTCTGGTACAGAAGAAGCCACAGCTGGAGTGGACAAAGGATCGCATCGGATCTTACCCGACTGAGAGAGACGAAGACACAGAGAGGGCTATAATAGCCAGGGCTTATGCATTCCTTACCGCCCGCTCCTGATCAATCACTAATTTCGGAAAAGCAAAACGTAGGTAGCAAAGGAAGCCGCTGGCTTTCAGGCCCACCAACAGGGGTTACGATGTCGGTACTTAGGTTGAAGGAAGGCGGAAGGCATTCTCCATTCATTCATTCGAGTCTGACTTGCAGGGCTTTAGTATAGATAGACAAGAGGAAAAGCACAGCACGCACCGGACTAGCAGGGTATGCCGGTCACATTGCCTAATCACTCAAAGCTGAAAGGCGTTGACCGTGTGGATGTAGAGGTGGAGGTGGAGGACTTTCTCTACTTAGTACACTCATTGATTGTCAAAGGGGCGACGAGGGGGTGGGGTTGAGTTGGTAGACAAGAAGAGCATCTGAACTGAAGTCGAAGTTTTTAGCCGCAGTTGGGGATGGCCGGGCGAATGAGACGTCGGATTGTCGAATAGGTTCCAATTCGACCTTCCATTCTGCTCCCCAATCTTGGAACTTCGTACATACATTGCACACTGTCTCAACGCCATGCCTGAACTATCAGATTTGCTGTCCGAATCTTCCCCTCCCTCCTCTCCCCCCTGAACGGGGGAGACTAGATCCTGCTACTAAGGGCAGGGTAACAAGTCCAACC